TCATTATTAAATGGAAAAATTCCAGATATAAATTCCCACATAATTATGGAAAAACTATATATATCACTAGCTTGAGTATAAGGTTGACCTCTTAAAGCTTCAGGTGCTATAAATGGTAAAACACCATAAATACTATTTTTTTTAGATGATCGAAAATATTCTACTAGTTTACATAATCCCAAATCACTAATAGATAAAATATTTTGATTAATACTTAAAATATTATCATGATGAAAATCACAATGAATAAGATTTTTTTGATGTATTATTTTAAGACCACTTATAATATTATATAATTTTAATAATTTTACTATCCAATTATCTTTAGCAATATTTGATAAATTTTTTCTTAAAAAACTATTTTTTGCATAATTCATTATAATTATATAATTTAATGTATTTGGATCTTGAGTAAAGCTATATATTTGAAGAATAATTTCATTTGTATACTGTTTTAATTGAATATAACAATTATAATGATGCTTCCACTAAAAAATAATAAAAAAATTTTAAAAAATATATTACAAAATTAAATTTAATAATAATTTTATACCTCATTTAAAAATTCATTATTTAAATTTGATGAATTATTAAGACTTTTAAGTATTATATTAACTTTATCACTTCTGATCCATTTTTGTTTATTATTATTATAAAAATAAGATTTTATAAATCCATCTATCCAAGTAGCTTTATAAATAATACTAAATCCTTCTTTATTAAGATATTTAATATTTTTAAAATTTTTATAAGGAATCCATTTTAATATATGATTACTATTTTTTGTATTTAATTGTATATTTTGAATAAATTTATCAATATACTCATTTCTACTAGTCCAATTAGAAAAATTTTCTTGAAACTGTTCAGCATTACAATATTTACACCATTCATATCCAGTATATTTATTTTTACAGTTTAAGCAAATTCCTAAATTTCTAAATTATATTTAAATACTTTACTTTTAAATATAAATTATAAATCATTAAAAAATTAATACTTACTTAATTATTAAATAATTAATAAAAAAAATTGTAAAATATAATTTTTTTTATAAATTATATATATTAAATTAAAAATTATATTCTTAAATAATAAAAATAATATACTGTCTAATAATTAAATTATTGTAATTGTAAATTAATTTTTAATTAAAATATAATATATAATTATAAAGAATTATATATTAATTAATAAAAGTATAATTATTAAAAATTATTCTTAATAAAATTTATTTAAACTTATATAATTAATTAATAAATAAAGTTACCATTTTGGTCATCAAATATTTCTTTAAATATAAATATTTTAAATTTAAAAAATTATTATATTTTAAATATAAATTTAAATATTATTGAATTTAAAATAAATTACCATCTAAATTATTGAATATTTCATAAAATAAAAGTTAAGTTTAATTTATTTTAATTTTATAAAAATATAATTAATATTAATCACTTACAATCTGAATGCAAAATAAATTTTTAAGAAAATTAATTGAATTTAAATTATAGTAGAAAAGCATAATAAATTTTTTTAAAAAAAAAACTTACTTTCTATATTATTATTATTAAATATATAATTTTTTTAAAAAATTTAATAAATTTAAAAATACAATAAAAAATATAAAAAGCTTACTATCTTAATTATTAAATATATTTTAAATAAAAATTAGGTTAATAATAAATATTATAAATAAAATAATTAATAAAAATAACTTACTATCTAAATTATTAAATAATTTTTAAAAATAATAAATTATATGAATTTAAATTAATGTAAAAGCATAATTTATTAATTTAAATGGCTTACTTTCTACAATACATTTAATATTAAATATTTTATAAAAATTAGTTTAGTAAATATAAAGTATAGTAAATTGAAATTTTAGAATATTAAAGATAATTTACCAACTAAATATTTGTTAAGCATTTTTAAATAAAAAATGAATTAGTCAAGTTAAATTACAATATACAGTATAAAATAAAATGACTTACTCCCTATAGTAATATTTTTTAATAAAAAAATTTAGTTTGAGTTCTAATTAAAATATTAATATCAAAAATTAAATGACTTACAATCTATAGTAATATTCGCAACCATTTTTTTTTGTAAAAAAAAAAAAATAATTATTAAGAATTATTTGACTCGGCTAATAAAATAAATGTTCATTACCATTTAATTCTTTTATTGTAGGGGCATCAGGAGCATCTGAAACTGGTAATTCTTTTAATGTAGGAGCATCTGGAGCATCTGAAACTGGTTTTATTATTAAATAATTTTACAATTTAATTATTAAAAATTATCACAATTTAGTATTCAAAGAATTTATATGTTCTTACGATGTAATCCTTCTAATGTTTTCAAACAAAAATTTAGTATAATTAACGATTATATTAATTAATTATATAAGTATTTACCTTCTGGTTCTATTTTGCAAATTTAATAAAATTAATAAGAAAAAAATTTGAGTATAATTACGAATAATAATATTATATAAATAATAATATTACCTAATTCTTCTAATGAAGAAGCTTTCTTGGCATCCGAAACCGGCTCTAATTTATTTTAGATTTTTTTTTTAAAAAAGAAAAATTATTCATAATTCTGTAGAATAAGTATAGTATCTTCTCAGACTATATAATATTTCTTATTTTCGTACAAGTAAATAATATATTTAATGCTTAAATTTCGTTTTACCTTTATAGAAGTTACCAGACATTTGTTATAAATTTAAAAGAAAAAAAAGAGATTTTTCTTTTACTAAATATGTCGATCATTTTTCGTGACCGATTATTTTGTACAAGGCAGGCACAGCCATATGAGGAAATATTTTTTTATAATTTCATTAGTAGAGTAACACAAATATTCTTATATAAGAGGTAAAAAATTTGAAACTTTGAAATACAAGCTACGCCGCCAAGTCTCTGTTATATTTTTTATTAAGAATTATCTAATTATTTAAACTTTTGATGATAGAAATCGATCATGCTTCATAACAATATAATAATGAGCATTTAAGCAACTTGCAATTCAACCTAAAAATTTAGAAGATCGCCTAATAGTTCATCGAGTAGTGAAATAAATAACAGCTCTACTCATGTTGAAGTTTGCGGTAGAATATTGATAATTTTTTAAAAAATTCATGTAACAACAAGTATAAGGATTTTACAAAAATAAATATAGATATTTTCGAAGACTCCGAACCTGCTATGATATATTCAATAGTTTTGTTTCAACAACAAAGTATTTAAACTTCACATACTTCATATTAATTTGCACACTCCTTCATTATATAAAACTGCAAATGCAATAGCATCATGTGATGCAAACATAATTGAAAAATCAGTATGTTAATGAAAAGTACAAAAATCAATATAAAGATAAATCGCATAAACTATTTAAATAATCAATAAACGTAAAGTAAAAAAATAAGACAACTCCTTTTATCTGTTTTTTGATAAGGAAAAAAACGTCAGATATTACTTGAAAAGTTTAATATACCCAAAATTTTAATTTCATATAAAGAATTAAATTATTTGATATCAAGGTCTTTTTTCCACGCATGTTTTGACAACATTGCACACATGTATCAAAATTCCCAAGACCTATTACTGCTTAACTTTTATCAAACCATGCAATACCAGAATCCCTTTTTCCATAAAGAGTTCTTTATTGTATTATCTATTTATCCATTTTAAAGGGAACAAGATTTCCCTTAACTCGACAGCTTCATAAGATATTCACGTCCAAAGTTTCTCTGCTAAATACATCAATTATTGTTTTCTGTTATACGATTTATTTATTTTTTAATTACGGATTTTTTTTATTTATTTTTTTAAATTTAAAAATTGATTTTTTTTAATATCCGTGATTTAAACGTTAAAAAATTGATGACAAAATTGTTCCTTTGATACTCGCAACAGTCAGTATTTTTTGTCCAATTATAAGCATAGGTATTTTCAGTATAGGTTGCGAAACATCAACTGAATGAAAAAAAAATAGGCTCAAATTGTTCAAACATGGTGCCGTTATAGATGATAAAAAACTTTATCAAAATGTCGAAAGATAAAACTCCATTTTAGTTTGTTCTAGTAACGTGCTAGTCTATTAATTATAACAGATAAGTTATTGTTTTTGCGCTGATAAATAATATTGAAATTCGTTCTGCGATACGATCTGAATCATCACCAATAGGATTTCAAAGATAATTTGTTGAAATAAATTACTATAAAATAAAAAGAAAAGCATTTGCTACATATAATTTACTTTTAATCTGATGTATTTATCCTTCAGTAATTTTTTTATTTTTTTAAAAAAAATTTAATTTTTAAAACATTACAGTGTAACATATCAACGATTAGCCACGTGACTAGTTCGAAAGGTCCTACCCGGTCCTCTTTTAACCTTTCCGACCAATGAATCCCTATTAAAAACACATTTTCCAGATCTTCTTCCAAGTTTCTTGAATCTTTCACGTTCCTTCTTCAACGCTTTCGTGTTATTACATATTTTTTAAGTTGTTCAACATACTGGTTGACAAACGGAATCCATTTAATTTCGTCGCGAAGATTGCGCTAGTCTAACTAGTATAGTATAAATTAATTCATATATCCCAAAAAGAAATGACAGTGATTAAGTGGAAGAAAGCAATGAACACAAATTCGTACTTCGCTTTGCTCTGGATATTGAAACCCATTATTTTCAGAAACCTTCTTCAACAAATTTATCTTTTGCAAAAATATTCTCTAGGTTTCCGCATCATTATTACTAGATTTCCAATATTACAAATATCTATGACAATATTATGAATCTTGTGGTTAACTTTATGGATAGTTCTAGTTTATCCTATCTATGACTCTATATAAAAAATTTATTCTTTAATTTGATTGGACGTACTGCGTGAAATAATTACGTATTTATGTGTCACATAAACAAGGTTATAATGCTTATAATGCACTTTCTCTCTTTGCATGTTGTTGCTTTCAACCTTTAAAAATATGTCTCATATTACATTATACTGTCTGGTGGCGGGTGAATACCCTCACGAAAATGTTTTTAAGATTGATGTTGAGGATAATAAGTTAGTTAAAGGTCTCAAAGAGGTTATTAAGGAAACGCAACCGAACATATTTATTGGCGTCAATAGCAGATATATTAAGTTATGGAAAGTCAACATTCCACTTGAAAGCGAAAAACTAAAATTCTTTAAAATCCCTGATGAAAGTATAATGGATAAACTTGGAAGTGAAAGAATGAATCAGACAACGAGGATTAAAGAATATTTTCCTATCAAACCGGCCGACAGACATATTAGTATCATTATCGAAACTCCTAATGCTATACATAGAAATCTTAATCAAGCATACAGGTTAGGTTGCTTGTCTAAAGGAGATCAAGTTGTGCTGAAATACAAGAATGAAACATATACCGCAACATTCAAAGAAATGCATGGTCGTCCGTATCTGATCGCCGATGGATGCGAGTACTCTTCTTTTGCAAAGTTTATTCAAGCGATGATAGACAAAAAGTCAATAGAGGGTGCGGTTTATAACTATCTGAAAATCAATTCCATGTCTTGGAAAGAATTCAGTGAAAAACTATTATTCTTCAACTCCGTTATGCAAATAAAAAAAGAGTTGCAACTTATCCTTAACGACCCAAATGTTCGTGACATCTTCTATGGTAGAGAAGAGTTTGAGAAATCTTCTACAGAAGTTTCCATCTATGAAGACCAAAATCTGTATGTTGTAGTTGACAGACTTCCAGAGGAACGGTTGAAATTTGTTGGAGAATTTCCAATAGTTTATATATCTTGGGGAATATTAAATGATTGTTATCCATTTAATCCTCCGAAAATTCCTTTCCCTCTGGAAACGTTAAAGAAATTTGACAACATTCTCGATACACACCTTGGACTAGATTTCCGATCGAAATACATAAATCTTACCGCGATTGCATTAGACTGGAAAGTCAGTGGCGGAGTTTATGAAGAGAGACCCGCTATAGTATTCTACGTAATTCGCAAGGGTGTGATTCCTCTTGGTGATCAACACTTTCCCAAAATTATTGATGGAATAGAAACAGATGTACGAGAGGGAATTTATCGTACAACTGGCACAGATTCGCATTATTGTCGTAGTTATGAGCCGGTAATTACTTCGGGCTGTAGTATTGGAAACTCAAATAAAACCAGTGCGGGAACCTTAGGATGTTTTGCAAAAGATAGCACGGAAAATACCTATATTTTGTCCTGCCAACATGTCTTATGCTTGAACGAAGGTTCTGAAACAGGATTAATTTTTCAACCGGCGTATATTGACTATGTAGGGATGCTTAAAAGTGAGAAAAAAATAACAATCGAGAAGATAAATAAAGCACAGTATAAATATAAAAATCAAGAAGCAATTGATTTAAACAGCAAAAAACTCGAGACGATTGAAAATGACCTTGAAAGTGCGAAGAAAAAGGACACATTAGTTGGGTCGTTTTACAAAGGATTACGTGATAATTATAAAATTGATGACAAAAATTATGGAGTTGATGCCGCCATAGCTTCACTAGTAGAAACAAGTAATGGTAACTTTCGAAACATTGATCCAGAAGGTTTACCCATATCGGACTTCACATTTAAAAGATTGTCACATGAACCTATTAATCTTTCATGTACCATAGATATTATCAACAACCTTGATTCAGTCGATATTTCGCAACCCGTATTTAAAGTTGGACGAACATCTGGACTGACTATTGGACATATAAATGAAACAATTTTATCATCAATTTTGTTAAGAGGAGTTCATAACGCATTTCACCATCAGGAGAGAATATTTGGGCGTTGCTTATTAAAAGAAATCAAACATAAGGGGAAATCTATATTTCCTCCTAAATGGTTAGATAGACAAATAACAGTAATGAATAATGGAATATTTACGGAAGAGGGGGATTCTGGTTGTATATGGTTTAATAAAAGTGGAGCAGTTATTGCAATGGGTCATGGAAATTTATTTACAAATATTGCAATTTATTCCATAGGATCGCCAATACATGCAGTGTAAAAAGCTCTTAATATAAGTATTTGGTTCGGTGAATAGCACATTATATAAACAATTATTCTTTGCGGGGAAATAAATTTAATGGATGAATCGCTTTGTAATTTGTTTTGCATGTTCTATTATTTCTATATAATCATTCCAGACAAATGGTTATTCGTAATAAAGCATTTATTTTTTTGCGTAAATTATTTGTTTCGTATGATGCAATATTAGTTCTTGTTATTGAAATAAAGAATCAGTAGTAACTTTTTTTATTTTCTCACGTAATTCTCAGTTTAAGAACTTATTTATAAAGAACATCACTTGATTTTTACAAAATGATAGTGATTAACCAAAATCATTTGTATTTGTCGAAATCACAAATTATTATCCTATATTTATAATTATATAAAATAGTTAATTGCAGTTTCTTTGAACGAATAATTAAACGAAAGTGATCATTTGTTGCATTAAAGCATTAAAGATTTCTTTTCAATAAAAAATCTACACAAGTTCTCTAAGTTCTGTCCTTTGATTTTTGTTACATTTAAAATTTTTATAATCAATATATCTTGCATATCCAAATTATAAAGTATGAAATTTATTTTATGTATATATGCTGTTTTGCATCAGAAATAAAAAATATATATAACGCAAATGCATTTCACGTGATGTGAATTTTGTGTTACAAATGATAGACAAAAATTTTAAAATCTGACGCGCAAACGTTTTGAATACATGCCATGCTTGATCATTTAAATATACATATACTATATACGACCATAAAAAATAAAAAAATTCTGTGACAGTGGCATGTCCTGCTCATAAGATAATTAAATTGGGGTTATTTGAAACTGCCTTAGTTGACGGTAAATTCGTGTTTCAGAGCTTGTTATATCATAATATAAAATCTGGTTGCTTGTTTCAACCCTTAAATCTTCATTCAAAACCGTTTTAGCCATTGGACAATATTGGGGTGTGCGGTCAACTAATATAGTTAATATAGTCCTATAGTAAAATTTACTATTGAAGATTTTTGTGAAACTTAGATGCATATCTAATTATTTGCTGATTATTATTACGATTTTCCTAATAAAAAATTCTAAATCTTTAAAGTTTAATAACTTCGGCTTAAGTTAGCACAAATTAAAACAGTAAATGAATACATTGTAACTATAATATCAAGATGACACCTCGTTTTCTTGAAAAATAACAAAGAAAATAATTTTTAATTTAGGGAGCTATGCACAAAAGATTTATTTATTATTTCTTGAAGCGTAAATGATTTGTTTTTTTGCAAAAACGAGCTGTTACATGAAAGTGACAATAATTAGAATGATTTGTAAATTTGGAGCGAAGATATTGGGAAGAATCTAAGTTATTAAAGTATATAATGTAGAAGATCATTATAAAGCAAATTTAAACTATGGAATTACAAAAAAAATCGTTTAATAGTAAATATTACTATAGGCGCAGACATAGTTTTGTTAATATATGTCGACAATGAAACGTGCCTTCACAATAAAATATAAAATATTCCAATAATTTACGATAAGAGTTATTATTCTAGACAACATCTCGTTAAGTAAAATTTATAGGTGATTCAAGATAAAAGAACCCAAGTTTTCATCAAAAATTTGAATTTTTGCTAAAAATTAACCTTACGACTTTGTGACGTGACTCTTTGGCCGCTTACTTAATGGTCATTCTAAATCTTGGTTCGTAAACTGAATTTAGTTATATTTGTTTGCGTTTTGTTGGTGAGTAAAGGAGAATCATATATCAAAAATGAGAATATGGCAAGCATAAAAATCGAGACAGTGACAAGCTTTGATTCAACAAATAAACCTTCGGTCTTTACGATCTTTACTGATTTATTTTAATATTGACAGAATAATCAAGACATATTATTAAGTTCGTTTGCTGAATCACAATATTTGCACCTACATCCCGTCCTTATATTCGATTTCGTAATAAATGGATTAGCAATAATTATAATTTTGGACTTTCCGGAGTAGAAATATTGTTTCACCTTCATTTACATTTTTTCTTTGTTCCCAGACGATATGGGTTGTAAGCTATTACATTACGGATCATATGGGACCTTTGCAATATTAAAGGGGGAAACGGCCGGAAAAATCAATTTTACTTTTATATGCAAAATAGGATTTTTAGGTCAAAATATGTTCAGATTTAGCATTAACTCATTTTTTATTTTTTTCCGGCCGTTTCCCCATTTCTATTGCAAAGGTCCCATGTTCGTAACTTAATTTATTAGCAACCTCCCATATACGAACAAATCATAAATTTTGAATTAATTAAATTTTGGATGTGCGACAGAAAAATATCGTGTTGTACTATTTGTTTCGTTTCTGAACATCCTTAACTTTTTACATTAGATCATAATCTAGATTTTTTTTTTCATTAATTTACAAAAATTCAACTGAGATTTCATGAAATATCAAATGAAGTGTCATATAACCGTTATGGAAAATTTTCAGGCTGAGATTTAGCATTCATTCATTTTTATTTTCCGACCGTTTTCTCTTATATATTACGTATTCAAAAAGTTTAAGCTTTTGTTCTTTCTTCTCATTACAAACAAAACTCATATTTATAAGACAAAATGTATAGAAATTTATTAACGTTTTATATTCTTTACTTTATTCGACACGAGCAACAAAATGAAGAAATGGGCAAAGTCGGTATATATTTGTTTGCGTTATTTAATTTCTTTTACTTATATATAGGCAAGTAGGTGGAATTCGACTTGTGGGTACTTGTCTTAAATGCAGCCAACTTTGTTGAGCTTCAAGTGGGCGCTCTAATATTAACAATTAATTTTGCACGGTTTAAAAAAGTCTGTTCAATTAATAAGACGATGATTTTAAAATTTTATTAATTATTTTTTTTTTAAAAAATTATTAAAATACTTTAATTTTTGCTATTAAATTATTAAATTCATCCTCTGTTAAATTATAGCAAGGAGATTTTAGTAAGCTCGACGAGGTCAATAGTAAGATCGATAAATTACTTAATCATTAAGTAAATTTAGGAAATTTCATAAAGATATTAAATTGAATACGTTATGTTATAAATTGCTTTAATTTTATTAACGAAATTATTTATTGTTTCTTCATTTTTGAAGTTTGATAAATTTAAAACTTGACAGTTTTGAAAAGTCTCTCGAGTGTAGTTATAGATTTAATGATTCTTTTTTTTAAAAAAAAATTTCTTCATAATTTACATATGTAAGAAAATTTATCATTAAATAATATAAATATTAAGTAGGTATATATATTTTTATTTATAAAGGTTTTATTATTGTGTTTGTGAAACTCTAAAACAATTTATGAAACTATTCATGAAATGCTTATTCGTTGGGAATATGATTTTGCAATAGATATTAGAGAAAACCAAATAAAAAAAGACAAAATGTCATTGCGAAATTCTTGATATGTAGCATAATTAGCGATTACTAAAACATTTTTTCAAATTGATAAATAGTTTTAAAACTAAAATCAAAATATTAGGTCATTCATGAGCTAAAAGTTGTTTTCGTGGATAAAAAACTCTTAGCAAAGACAAAACCTAAATGTCATATCAAATATTAAAAGCTGATATAAAAAATATAACGCGTTAGCGATGGTGATAAATTATACAGATATATAAGTAAATGTGAGATTTGCTAATAAAATCACGTTACGGAATATTTATCCAGCTGATGAAATAACTGCAAAATAGAAGTTAGAATACTTGTTTAAAAATCTTAAAGTGCCAACAATTTTAAATAAACTTAATAATAATTTAACTGAAAATTAATAAAAAGGTGCTATTATATAAATTAGTAATACATTCAAGAAGCAAATCCAATTTTATTGATATTTTGATTAAAAATATGTTATAATTCATTATTAATAAAAAATAAATAAAATTCTCCTTTATAACTCACTTTTAATGTATCTGAAAGAGTAGTCCAAATATTGAGAATCTCTAAAGCAACTATTGTTAAAATTACATTTAAAATAATTTAATACAAAAATTGTTATTGTTATAATAAGCTAAAATATCTTGCCGTTTCTACAATATTAATTAAAAGATTATTTGATTCACATGGTAAGCTGACTAAAATAAATTATACAATCTCATGTATTTACGTCTATCAATATATATAAGTCAATATTAGTTCAGATTTTAAATTGCAGTTCATTAAATATCGATATGACATACTGTATTACCTCTTAATTATAATGAGCTAGAAATTCCTAATTCAATTAATTGAGAATCTTGATATTCTGTTAAAATGAATAGAAATTAATATTTCGTTATCAAATAAAAAGCCAAGTAAATATTACCTTCATTATTCTCATCCTTTTCAAGATATGAGGTGATAAGAGACGAATTAATAGGCTTTGTCAAATTTTTAAATGAAAATGCTCTACTTGTATATATAGCATCACGATTCGTTTTGCGTAAAATTGAAATATTTGGTATCTCTTTATCTGCATCTTCAAATGCTTCCTTTATTTCTTTAACATAATATCCATATGCTTTATAACCATCAGTAAAAATATACCAAAAACTCATTGTATCATATAATTCATCGACTTTTGGTCTTTGATTTGGATTTGCATCCATACATCTATAAGACAATTTCTTGTAAAATTCAGGGGTTCCTTTTCCAAATTCTGGACGAAGTCCATTACAAATATCCAAGGCTAAAGATA